TACGTGTTGGGCTGCTAACTACAGAGTCAGCAGTTTGAAACCACCAGCCACTTTTGGGGAGAAAGATGAGGCTTCTACTCCCCCAAAGAGTTACAGTCTCTGGGTTCTTGCAGTTCCACCCTATCCTACAGAGTCACTATGAGCCAGAATTCTCTTAATGGCGCTGAGTAGGTAGGTATTAGGAAAATTAACAGGTTACCACAAGTCAGGATAATAAAACATTAAGGATACAGCCTTTGGTCCACTGCAGTGTCTCCCCTCAACCAGCAGCCATGTCTCTCTATGGTCCTCAGACTCTCAGACACATAGTCCTTTGGCCCCTTCCTCCATCCATGGGCTAGGAAGTCCACCCACTGCGCTGCTTTACCGTCTTAGAGTGTCAGCACTGCTCTTCTGTCCTATCTCAGTCTCCTGGCCTTGCCCTCTGAGCTCTGTGTGGCATGACACCAGCTGCCTCTTCCACATTAGGGATTTCTAGTGTGCTCCAGTGATGCCTCTTCTTCCCTGATGATCCTAGAAATTCTCTCTGCTCCTGCTTCTGAGCTGGCTCTCTCATACCCAGGGGAATGGCAACCAACGCTGCCCACTTCCTTCTAGTAGGGTTTCACATAGTCCCTATTCACGCAGTCCCACCCAGTCATTTGGTGGGAATTACTGAGACATGGATAGAAGAGCCATATTAAAAAATTTCATTTTCTATAGCCTTCTATATTGTATAAATGTTAAGCTCCACAGAACTTGATTTTCTCAGGAGGGAGTCGGTGGTTATGTTTGAGCCTGTTGGTGCAGTCACTGTTTCAATTCATCCTGCTGAGGGTCACTGTCCCTCTGTTTTATCAAGCATCATGTCCTTTTCCAGGGACAGGTCTTTCCTGATAACATATCCAAAGTACTTGAGAAAAAGTCTCACCATGCTTGCTTGTAAGGAGCATTCCGGCCGTACTTCTTCCAAGACAGATCTGTGACACTTTCAATATTCTTCCAAGACAGTCCGTGATACTTTCAATATTCCTCACCAGCACTGTAATTCAAACAAATCAACTCATTTTAAAACTTTCTTTATGCATTGTATAACTGTTGTATGCATATGAGATGATGGAAAATAACAGGCCTTGGGTCAGATGGACATTAGTCCTCAAAGTGACCTTTTGCTCTCCAACACTGTAAAGAGGTCTTGTGCAGCAGATTTAACCAATACAATGTGTTCTTTGATCTCTTGACTGCTGCTTTCATGCTCATTGATTGTATATTCAAGCAAGATGAGGTCCTTGACAACTTCAATCTTTCCCGTTGTGAGGATTAAATTTTTTTTCTTTCTTTCCATTAAGTTCTAACCCATACTGAAGCCTGCAATCATCTATCGTTAGCAAATGCTTCAATCTTCCTCACTTTCCAAAAACAAGATTGTGTCATCTGTGTATTAAAGGCTGTTACTAAATCTTCCTCCAACCTGATGCCACATTCTTCTTCATATAATCCAGCTTCTCTGGTTATTTGCTCAGTGTACACACTAAACATGATGAGAGGATACAACCCTGACACACACACACACCTTTCCTGATTTTAAACCATGAAACATCCCCTTGTTCTGTTTGTACTGTTGCCTCTTACTCCATGTACTCGTTCCACATGAGCAAAATTAAATGTTCTGGAATTCTCTTATTCTCAAGGCTATCCATAGTTTGTTATAGTCCACGCAGTAGAATGCTGTTGCATAGTCAATAAAACACAAGTCAATATCATTTTGATATTATCTGCTTTCAGCCAAAATCCACCTGACATCAGCAATAACCCTTGTTCCATGTTGTATTAGTCTAGGTACTTTAGAGAAACAAATCCACAGCAACTCATGTATAAGAGGTTTATGTAAAGAAAATGTGCATCACGAAAACAACCCAACCCAATGCTGCCCAAGCCCACAAGTCCAACAGTAACCCATTAACCCAACACCAGTCCACAGAGTCCTCCACCTCACAAAACAGAGGCAATGATGCCGACTGCAGGAGGAAAGCTGAGTCAGTGAACGTGTAAGCATCTCAGCAATAGCAGTGGTCTCCACACGGCTGCTCCAGCACCCAGGGCTGCATCGGGATAGGTCCATGTAGCTTCTCCTTGGCATGTCTTGTAGGAAGTCATTCTTGCAAGCTGAAGCAGGGAACTGCTAAGGCAGCTACACCCTGGTGCGAACATCACAAAGCAAGAGACCCGAGAGCTAGAAAGGCGAGGCTCACCACCCATTTATCCCTCGGCCTTTCAGTTAGCCCCACATGTGATTATCGGCCAGGTGGGCACAATTAACTAACTCACATGTCTTCTGAATTCACCCTGAATTTCGGGCAGCTCCTTGTCAATGTACTGCTACAACTATTGCTGGATGATCTTCAGCAACATTTTTCTTGCATATGATAGTAATGATATTGTTCTGTAATTTACACAGTCTGTCGGGTCACTTCCCTTTGGAATGGGCACAAATATGAATCTCCTCCATTCTGCTCCACTCAGCCCCTGGTAACCACTGATCTTTTGTCTTGACATATTTACCTACTCAAGGTATTTCACATACAATTATACAGTAATTGGTTTTTTGTGTATTTTTTATTTCTTTTTTTAAAGTTTTGGGAGTTGGGTGAAGGTTTACAAAGCAGATCAGGGTTTTGTTTGACAACTCATACACAATTTGTGTCACCTTATGGATTACATTCCCCATAATGCAGCATCACCTATCCCACTTCCTCCTGTTTCTGGTTTCCATGCCTTCTTTCCTAACCCTTCTGAAGTTTGGCTGTAGGTAAATGCTGCCCTTTGGATCTCGAATGATTAATGTAAGGTGTGCATACCTCCATAGGTCATTGTTTACCTTATAAACTTGTCTTATTGTTCAGCTGACAATTGAGCCATGGAGGTGAGTTTATTTCCAGATTTGAAGGGTAACTAAGGACCATAGTAGTCTCAGGGGCTCCACTGGTCTCTATTTGACCACTAAGCCCTTGTTTTGTTTCTAAGGGGAGGGTTGATGATTTTGAGCTTTATTTTCTATTTTTCTCTCATTTTATCCAGTACCTTCTAATATGATCCCTTTGAGAGCAGTTGGTTGTGGTAGCTGGGCACCCTTTAGTCTTCTGGTCTCATGTTTAACTTACTTTATTAGCATCATGTTTCAAAATTATTGCAATGGCATGTGTCAGAACTTTCTTTTTATAGTTGAATAATAC